ACTTTTAGACTGTTTACGATAGCACAACCAAAATCCTTGAAAATGATTGATAGATTATCCAAAAGCTCTCTAAACAATCATTTAAACAATTTTTCTTTTCATAGGGGCCATTTTTTTGTGGGGAGGGGGATACTTGCAGATACATGTATGATCCCAACCAAAGTATATCTAAAGATACAAGTATAAATCACTGCTCTATACTTATAACCACAAGTATAAACCCAATCCATGTATACTTATAGATTTGAATATGAACACTACTAATGTATACCTACAGTATGTATGTATTTATAGCTGGCCACTTGTATTCAAGGATACCTGTCTACTATGGTGGCTAGCCAATCCCTATTGCAGACGCTTGCTCAGGCACATTTTGTGTTTATTCAACACCCACAGAACCCACCTGTGGTTTATACTGCAACTATGCTGAGCAGACCTTAGTTATAGTTTCTGGGAGAGAGTCTGTTATCTAGCATGATCAACAATTTGGACAAAGCCAGCATGCTCAACCCTTGGTCATGTGACTTCATGCTAGAACAGCTATTGACGGCATCCAAGGATCCCATCTACCCAATTTCACTCACAAGGCTTGGGTCAACCTGTGGTATGGTTTCCAGAAACTTTCCAAAGGTGCCGCATGCTGGGATTGACCCCTCCACTCTGATATCATCAAGAAGCCACCTTCCTGACAAATCAACCATGGTGAGATTCGAACTCGGGTCTCATGGTCAGAATGCGATTGTTCTAACCACTTGGCTATGTGCTCATATACTTAAATACTCAAGTATAAATCCAGCACGTGTATACCTATAAACTCAGGTATAATTCTTACTAATGTATACCTACATTCTCAAGTATAAATCTAACCAGTGTATACCTAGAGACTTGAGTATAAATCAACCCAATATATACCTATTATCTCAAGTATAAACCCAAGTAATATTTACCTACAGACTCAAGTATAAATCCTGCTCATGTATACCTATAAACTCAGTTATAAATCTTACTAATATTTAACTACAGTTTCAAGTATAAATCTAAACAGTGTATACCTAGAGACTTGAGTATAAACCCACCCAATGTATACCTAGAGACTTTAGTATAAACCAACCCTATGTATACCTATCGACTCAAGTACAAACCCAAGTAATGTATACCTAGAGACTTGAGGATAAATCTAACCAGTGTATACCTACAGTCTCAAGTATAAATCCATGCAATGTATATCTAGCGACTCTAGTATAAACCCAACTATTGCATACCTATGTACCCAACCTATGTCAATGTACATGTTAAGACAAATGTATAAATCTATGAGTGTATGCTCATAGTCAAGAAAAATACACTAAAAAAACGAAACAGAAGTACATTGTCAGTCATTTTTAATAAAACACACACACACACACACACACACACACACACACTGCCCCAATGTTTTCTGTATGTAAATGCAGTATGTATATATCTACATATGAATTGCATTTGGAATTGCATTCTTCCATTCCACCCACTCGTTGTTTGTCTTCATTCAGAATTATTTCCAATTACTTTTTTTCTCTGTAGTTTTCTTTTCCACAAGATTAATTTTTAGCTTTAATATTGCATTATTGTTATAAAATGTTAAAAATTTCTTCTGCAAAGTCTGCTACTGTTTATTTAAACAACGTTTATCCAATAGTATCTTGCATTGCAAATGTTTACATATGGCAAGCAAATCTTTTTCCCCGAGTGATTGAACAGTAAACTCCATTAAATCAGACGTTCATGCCAAAAGCCAACTTTCAATTTTGACAATACAATTACTCTGCAAATTGTTTTTGCCAGAAAGGATTCTTTTTGTAAAGATGGGTAAAAGCAATTGTTGTCTTTTTAAATAAACTTCCATTAAAACCTGATCTTTTAGCAAAATCATGAAGATACACTTGAGGTTAGTATTGAGCATATTTGGCAGCTGTCAAGATCATTTAAGTCAAGTAAAGGCAACAGGGAGACGTGCAAAGACTATATTTATTATTCTATGGCTTTATCTTATGATTCACAGCTCCGATATTTATTCCAGGATCAAATTTTACTGTTTATTCAACCTGTATTAGTACTGGGTGACCTATACCCAGCATCCGTATCAGCATCATCATCATCATTACAGTTGACATCATTGTATTAAACATGGATATTCAACATAATTTTTATCTTTCCTCTTCTCTTTATGTTCAAAAATTTCCTATTCTTTCTCCTCTAATTTTTGAGTAGATTTTTCATTTTATTTCTTTATTTTTCATTCATTTCACACCCTCCCCAAGCAAGGCAACAGAGCCTCTAACATGCAAGGGATTACTGAGTGTGAAAGAATATAAGAAAAACACTATTAAGGAGTAAGAACAATAAAAGAAGCCAGAAGAGTGTTCCACAAGCAAGAAGTGCAAGAGAAGAAACTGTTAGCATAGAACTTACAGTTACATCTAGCCATTTCAACTGTAAAATAATGAGACCTTGCCACTAATCTAGTAATGCACTTAAATTCAAGTCTAGGTACCAAAGTGGAAAGTTCATCGGAACATTTACCATGAAAGTATTTATAGAAAAGGCACAGGGAAGTTATGATACAGTGAGGGGAAAAATGACTGAAATCAAGATGCCAGGTTAGGACGAATAGCATTGCAGATTCTTCTTTGTATTTTATGAACGATCTATAAATATATAGCTAGAACACCAGAGCATATAGAGCAGCAATATTGTAAGCATAGATGAATGGTAGACTTATAGATATATAAGATAGATTCTGACAAGAAAAATTGTCTAGTACAACATGGTGAACCACCATCCTGGCAGTAGACCTAGCAATTGATTCAATATAATCATTCCATTTCATGTCCACAGAAAACTCTATCCTGACTAGGCACATCTCCTCGATACAAGTACCATCCATGCTGATGGAATGCAGAAAGAAGGGTCTTCTCAAAGGATTAATAGAGAACAGTTTTGTTTTGGTGGCATTCAAATTAACAAGCCTTTCCTTGTCCCAGTTAATAACAGAATGTCGGTCATTTTTAAGATCTGACCTTATTGAACCAATCAGACTTATGAACTGACCAATTGTTGAAATCAAAATAAGGATTCATGCAAAGTTATTTTCATTGGCTAAAATTTCTGTTCCTATTTCCTCTCTAGCTATGAGTTTAGTTGCAGTTTTATAATGAAATAAGCAACATAAAACAATACAATCAAACTGTAGATGTCAATAGGGCTGAGAATACCATGACTCCCCTCCTTTCAGACTTTTAGGTGGATACCTGCAATCAAAACATAACCTCTCCCTACATAATAAATAAAATTATAAAAATTTACTTATTCATCACAAACCAATATTATTTCACATTTAGCAATGATTTTTGTTATGAAATGAACTCTTCTTTTGTGTTTTGTATGTAAATTTATTGTATGCAAATGAACATACATTTTCTTTTATAAATTCTGCTGTATTTAGGGGAGGAGGATTATGTGGAGAGACACCAATAGTGTCATTTTGCTCAGTTATATTTGTTGAATAAAGCCATTCTTAAGCTTATTGTCATCTCGTCTTAATGCTGATTTGAATTGCTTTTAAATTCATAACAATTTTTACAATTAAAATGCATTACCAATGGGATCCCCTCTTGGAAGAGTCATAGCTTGTCTGTTCATATAATAGATTCAAATATAAAGCTAACCAATGTACATCTATGAATTCAAGTATAAACAATTTATGCACAGACACTCAAATATAAACCTTACCAATCATGATAATGAAAAACATATTTTAACATTAAATAACCCCAAAATGGAATGTCTTAAAATATTCCAGCTCAAGTGACTCTACAAAGATATTAGAACAAAAAAAGAACATTTCAATTTGTTCTCTATATATCAGATGGAACAATTTGTAAATTGAGAAGTAATACTCACTAACTTTCCTTTCTTTTTAGAAGCAATAAATTCCTTGTTTGTTGTAGAAACAATAAACCCCTTGCTTCTTGTAGAAACAATAAATCCCTTGTTTTTTGTAGAAGAAATAAATCCCTTGTCCCTTGTCAAAGCAATAAATCCCTTCATCTTTATAAAAGCAATAAATCCATTTTTCTTTATAGAAGAAATAAATCCCTTGTTCTTTATAGAAGTAACAAATCCCTTTCTCCTTGCAGAAGTAATACATCCCTTGCTCCTTATAGAAGCAATAAATCCCTTGTTTTTTTATAAAAGAAATAAATCCCTTGTTCCTTGTATAAAAAATAAATCTTTTGACCTTTATAGAACCAATAAATCTCTTGTTCTTTTTAGAAGCAATAAATCCATTTTTCCTTATAGAAGAAATAAATCCCTTATTTTTATTAACTTACTATGGCAATTTCTAAAAATTCTAAAGATCTTCCAATGAAAAACAAAAAAATAATCTACAAACTAAATTCTCTTCACACAAATATTTGTAAGCCAAAAAAAAACAAAAAACAAATCACTGAAAAATAAATATTTGATTGTATTCCTTGCAAGAGAATGATATATCTAGTAAAAAATTAATAATCCACTTTAAGGTTAATTTGTCAAAACCTTGTGTTATCATGAATCTAATTAATGTATTTGGGTAAACAAATACTCACTTGGATGGACTTAGAAGCACTTTTGCTTTTGCAATTTTTGTTGCATACTAATATAATTTGGAGAATTAGAAATAATTAATGCATGTCACTGAATACAACACAAAAATATGGTGCCAAGAAGCATAAATTGGTTTCAGCATTTATAATTAGCTAAAACAGAGAATATCAGAGAGCAATATTGAGTTAGCAAAAAGGTTTATGAATTTTATTTCTCAAAATAGAAATCTAAAACAATTATTCAATATCATCCCTTTCTTTCAATATTTGTTTATCCTTTCCTTTGAAAGAATGAGGTAAACTCTTTCTTTCAATATTTTTTATCCTCTTTTTACTTTCAATATTCACTATTTATCCTCTTTCTTTCAATATATGTTATTTTCTTTCATGTTTTACCTCATTCTTTCAATATTTGCTCCTATCCTTCAGTATTTACCTCTTTCTTTCAATATTGTCACTTTTTTCAATATTTACCATTTTGTATATTTTCCACTTTCTTTCAGTATTAATCACTTTTTTAACATTATTATAATAATAATAATAAATATGTATATTATATATTTATTATTGTTATTATTATTATTACAAATAAGATGAAAGAACTACTAATTAGAAATTAATCAAAATTGTTATTGTTATTTATAACCTTCTTTCATTCTTTTTTTTATCTTTTCTTTATTGTTTTAGTCACTTTCTGAAAAGATGGAATACTATTGGCAGTGCAATAAAAATTTTTTTTTTTTTACTTCAGGTGCAAGTCGGCATAGGAGAAACACTACAGAAAATAATCAAGTGATCCTAAGGATTGCTAAGCCTCCCCACCGCCAAATAAAGTGTGTTTATCCAGAAGTTCCATGTGCTGACAGCAGACGGTGTTACCACAGCATCTATGAACGCTGCAATAACCAAGAAGAGTGCATTGATGGCTCCGATGAGCTTGGATGTAAGTAAAAACACACCAAAAATTAAGATATATAAGGAATTTTCTGAAAATTTTCTGCTCATGTCTAAAATGTGCATTCATTCTAATTTGCATTTGTCTATAAATTCACTATGATGGCACCATAACACCTGGCCATGATTAATAAAATAGACTGGGAATGACTTCAAATGGCTCTAAATGGGGCATTTTTATGACTAGGTAAATAGATAATAAAATCTACAAAGGAAATCTTCAAAACAACTCCCAGCTGAAGGAAATAGAAAAAAAAAATAGATAAATGAAAACTTTAGAGGTCAAGTATCATTTGACTGAAAGTTAGGAAGTTCAGGTCACAGAATTGAAAGTAGCTTTTGAGCCATTGACAGATGAGATACCAGCTACGCATCATCATGTAGAGATGGACAGAAGAGTGGTAGGTGGAAATCTGTGTTCTTCCTGTCCAAAGGGAAGAGCTTGCTCATTAGTCTATCATGAAAAAAGATAGAATTGAGGTTGTCTGCTGTGTCACCAACCTCTCCTTAAAAAAAACCCAAATCTATTGTAAACAAGATTTCTGTTTTAAATTTCTTGCCGTCTTTACCTTTTATTCTCTTGTGAACGTATACAGGGACTGCCTGATTTTTGTTTACACAGGCACCATCTGAAATCAAAAGACAATGTAGGGTGATTTATTCTGTCAGTCAAAGACTAAGAAATGGCCCTAGGGTATGGTTACAGTTCAGCTACTGTTTTGGATTGGTCACAAAATTTCATCATTTTAAGTAGGACTTCAAGAAAATTTTTCGAAATATAAAAAAAATTACATTTCCTATTATGGTAAACCATTATGGCAGATGTATTTGCATTCATGCACACGTACACGCACACTTATATATATGCTTTTTTTTAATATGACAGACAAGGAAAATTTGATGAATTTTTTATTTAGTTTTTCTAACATTATTACATTTTTCCGTTTGATGGGAGAGAGGGAGTGCAAAAATTGTCCATCTTTATTGTCCCAGGTGCTTTCAGCCACTTCTTTTTCAAGGGGGTTTGTTTTTAGGTGTTATTAATTTCTTTTCATGTTTGTCTGTTTAAGATGTATGCTTTGTTTGTGCTGTTTGAATAGTAGCAGTGTTTATTCCAAGCTTCGCTGGAATTTGAGTTGGCATTTTTCCATTTAAAAAAAAATTTCCCAAACACTTTCGACCAAAATCTTCCTTTAAGATTCTTGTGAATTGTGGGTGGCTTTTTATGGCCCTTTGGTCAGATTAGTGACACATTTTACACTCCCTCACTCCCACCAAATGAAAACATGTAAGAATGTTGGAAAAACTAAATAAAAAAATTCATCAAATTTTACTTGTCTGTCATATTCAACAAAACAGGTTGCAGCCCAAACGTACATTATATATATATATATATATATATATATATATATATATATATATATATATATATATATATTGCCTGGGGATGTAACAGTAAGAGATAGATCAAGTATCAACCATCATAAAGACTGAAAAATAAAATTGACAATGATTATTGTTCAAGGTTGATGGACATGCATGTCTTAATTAGTTTTTTTTTTTTTTACGAATTGGTCAAACCCAAACTCAAACAAAAACATTGTTTTCAATCGTTATGAGTCTACCGATTGAATAGAATTTTATTATAAACAATTGTCTTGTAAATGGAATTTTTAAAGCATTATGAATGTAAAATAAAGAAAAAAGTGTGCAAAACAATAAGAAACACTACATGCCAAAAAAAAAAAAGTGAAGTTTTGTTGAAATCGGTTGAAAAATATAGGAAATCCAATCCCATATATAAATGAACACACACACACAAACAACCCTTGGTTTTATAATAAGTATAACTCGATATGAGTTGTCCCCTTTCATTTTGGTGACAGAATCATGTTTTATCGTGTTTTCAAATTGATTTTGTGCAAAAACAATTGAGTTTTTCCAATTTTTGGCGCTGTCAGAACCACCACAAGGTAATTTTACGCAGTCTTGTGAAGTTTTGTTGAAATTGGTTGAAAAATGTAGGAAATCCGGTCCAATATATAAACGTACAGACACACACACACACACATACACACACACAATTTGTGTTTTATAATAAGTAAGATATCAATAAATATATATATATATACCTACATTTGTAGTGCAACTTAAAATTTCATGGTTTTCCTAAGTTATCAGGCATGAACTGGTGAATGAAACACTTGTTATGATTGATTTTAACAAATACTGGGTCTCATGAGGGGGAACACTAAATTAAATGCAGGTTCGAAGTTCAAAGTTAGTATAAACTTAATAGGAGATATTGAAAGAAAAAAAGATGCAAGCTTAAAATTTAAATAAGAGAATAGGGATGCCATGTAGGTTGTTACACATTAATAGACATTTATAAATGGTTATGGTGGGGGTGATCAATATGTAACCTAAAATATGTAATGGGCATATGATATTGAAATAAAAGAACTATCCAGAATTAAATTACTTTAGAAGAATTTCTTCCTGTGATTACAAGCTATCAAAAGTTCATTCCCTTTGTTAAGTAGGTTTTGGTCATTAATATTTTTGAGGATAAATCTTTTTCCAGCAAATACAGGTTGCATCAGTTGCTGCGACCAGAAAAGGGTGTAGATTTAGCAATGAAATTACAATTTGCTACCAGTGTATAGTCATTTGTTTTTTTAAATTTTGAGAGTGCCATGGCATTTTCATATATATATATATATATATATATATATATATATATATATTCTGGAAAATTTAACTATATTGTCAACTTGGAAAACAAAAAACAAACTCTTAGTAAAAAGGAAGTTACCAATACCAATATCCAGAAAAAGACTTATGTAGGAGTATCTCATTGTGAAATTTTGGATTTGATGTAACTATGGTTACAAAACATTTCACTTTCATTGCTTGTCTTGATAAAGTTGGAAGACGAAACACGTTGGTAAGAACTAAGAATTTTTTACAATTGTTATTTTTAAATGAATTTGTCTTATCTTCAGAGCTATTCTAAGAAATTTAACTATATTGTTGACATGGAGAAAAAAAAAACTCTTAGTAAAAAGGAAGTTACCAATACCCAGAACTAAAGCAGGAGCGTCTCTTTTTGAAATTTTGGATTTGATGTAACTAGGGCTAAAAAACATTTCACTTTCATCGCTTACCTTGATAAAGTCGAAAGACGAAACATGTCAGCAAGAAGTAAGAATTTTTTTCCAATTGTCATTTTTAAACCAATTTGTCATATTTTCAGAATTATTCTGGGAAATTTAACCATACATACATACATATATATATATATATATATATATATATATATATATATATATATATATATATAAAATATATATATATATATATATATATATATATTTAATATATATATATATACATAAATAAAAAATGAAAAATCACATTTATAAGATATATAATCCGGTGTTCTTATTTAATTTTTTTTTATTTTTATTTTTTTACAAAAATAGTGCTCAATGTGAATTTACAGATCCTAAGAAGAAAAGAAAGAGCATTAATATTATAAATTAATTGATTTAAAAAAAAAAAAAGCGGTGTTTTTTTTTCTTTCAAAACAATGGGATTTGTTATTTAGAAGGAAAATTATCAGTTCTAGAAAGGACCAGGCTTGATGACAGTGTTTTTTTTGAACAATATCGATGTTTCAAAAAAATGGAAGCTAAAATAGAAACGAAATTTTTTAACAAATTTAATGGAACTAATGTCTTTTAAGATTTAATCACAAAAATTAAATTCGTGGCTTTTAATAAAAGCAGCTTCCATTTTTTCCTGAAGTCACATCTTCTTTAGCGTTAGAAAGGTTGTCGAAAAAGCCAAGAAATCCTTTTTTTATCAGTAATCTTGTCTCGTGATTTTTTTTTTTTTACTTGAACGATATAAGCCCCGTTGAAAAAAAAGACATATTTTAAAAAAATGTCAATTAATTATATACCAAAGGGATATATATATATATATATATATATATAATTCTAAAGTAGACAACTCGAAATTAAACATATGGTGCCAGTCAAATGTGTAAAAACTTTTTTTTTGCGACATATTTCCTTCTTTAGAACTTCATTGGACAAAAGTGATGTTTACGTTGATGTAACTACACCTGTGCATAAAGAGAAGGTGACACTGAAAATCAAGAAGTCCTTATTAATAGAAAATGTAATCCAAAAGTGAAATTAAACCTGTATTCCTTCTTTCTATTGATGATTCCACCCCTTGTAGATTTCTGTTGGGAGGTATTTTTTTGATAGTAAGGACTTCTCGATTTCTAGATTAAAATAACTGGGATATCATCTCAAATACATGTCCTTAGTAAAAATCATCTTTATGACAATAAGAAATAAATGTAATGGATTTCAGCTTCGATTGAAGAATTGGAGAGCCAAGTTCATTACATTCACTTGTCTGCTAATACTCTTGAGAAAGGTATGACTCCAACACTTCTCCCCCCAGTTATTGGTAAAATACCAGGACAGACTGGGTTGTATGGCCTTGGGTGGCAACTGGTCTAGGAGAAAGAAAAGTCTGAAATCAAAACTCTATGTAACCCTGGCAAAACTCATACTATGCAGCTAAGGAAAGGATTGGGTGCATTGACTCAATGATCCCAACTACAGTTGACTAATGTTTAATGTGATAAAAAATTTGTTGGATTCATAAAAATTCATTACTTTCTTTAAAAAAATTGCTTTGTTTACATTTAGATATGAAATTGTACAGATATGAAAAATTTTGAGAGATCTATGACAAGAGAAATTTTGCTTTTGAAAGGCACAATTTTGGCCTTGCCCGATTGGCTGGTTCTCTGTAGCTCAGTTGGTTAGAGACTGCTAAGTCTAATGCCTGACCAGGTGGGGTGCAGGTTCAAACCTGCCAGACAGCTGAATTTATTTTTAATGAGATTTTTAAAACATTCAAGCCGGTAGATGAAAATAAATAAATATACTGTTTAATGACTAA